GTTTTTGTGGTATTTACTCAACATTTTCTGAGTGGGAATGATTGTGTGAGTACTTTCTTTTGCATCAGTAAATAGATGGCAAGAGGAAGGTTTCATCCTCTACAGCCGTCAGGTTCTTGCTCTTAGTGGAGAATCCATTTTATAGTCAAATTAAAAGAGGGGAGACAGTAGGTGTGGATGCAGACTGGGTGCTAATGCTAGGTTTGAAAAGAGGTGGGGTAGCCAAAGCATATTCCTGAAGTGGGACTGGTAGGAAAATGTGGAAAATGCTTTCAGCAGCTTATATGTGCTGAACCTTCTGTCTTTACAGTCCCAAAACACACATAACTTCTCAACCTCAATTTAGCTGCTGGGATTAGCCAGGGGAAGGTTTTGAAATGCATTCTCTGTTTTGAAGTGGTGATGTCAGAGCTCACCCCCACACTAAGCTGGATGTAAAACTGTTCAGGAAAAGTCTGTGCTTGGAATCTTTCCAAAGGAAGGCTGATCTTTACACCCTAGCTAGCAGGGCTCTGTGAGCACTGAGTGCTAAGCACACTGGCCACCAGGAAGGTGTTTTGGCACAGGAAGCTCAGCAGAAGCCCTGCTTGTAGCAGAAAGGCAAAAGCACCTGCAGTCAGTGCTGTGTGCCCCTGCCAGCTGTGGCTGTTTGAGCTGGGGCACACCTGGGGCAGGCTGATGGTGGGGTGCTTGGGGTTCTGAGGGCTGAAATAGGGGAAATGGAGGCAAGGGGGAAGTCTTGTGCCAGTCCTGTTTTGTCACAGGCTGCTGTTGAGCCCTGAGCTTGGAGGCTGGCTGGATGAGCAGCTGTGGTTTCTTCTGGCCTTCAGAAAATGCTTGGGACCAGGGAAATGCACAATTCTCACTGCAAGGAATTGCCAGGGGTGGGGGCAGGTGGTCTCCAAGTAGCACAGTGAAAGCTTGTTCCTCCCTAGAGAGGAGGAACTGTCATACTGAGATACATTGCCACTTAGAGCTCTTTCTAGGCCCCTCTGTGCTTAACCTGGTGCTTGTTCACAACCTTTCAGGAGTGCCTCTCTATGGTTTGCACCTGCACCCCATCTCCCTGGCAGGGTGGGCAGGGCTTTTTCCCATTGACATGTACTTGTGTTTGGGAAGCTGAGGCCAAGATCTGCCAGATTCCCCTGTCAGGCTGGTGCTGTGCCCTGTCAGGCACCAGCCTGCCCATCAGTGAGCAAGGTGGAGTTTCTGAGTCGTGGCTGAGAGGCGAGCAGCAGCTCCTGCAGCAGTCAGCAGAGGAGAGAGCTGGCAGCAGGCAGACAGACAGCCTGCCCTGCAGACAGAGCTGCCTTCTGTCGTGCTGCTGTGGAGCAGCCTGCAGAGTGGCTCCCCTCGGGTCATCTCTATCAGCCGGGGCTGCGCTGTTTGGTTGTTCTCTAATGGCCTCGTGCTCCTGGGCACAGCTGGTAAATGTGTCCTCTGTGTGACACTCTCTTGTCTTCTGTTTAGCTGAAATTTCGCACCTTAAGATGCATCCTGAAAGCATCTTAAACGATCACTTAGTGTTGTTTTTTATCTGCTAACTTGGTAGGTGATGTTTCCTGTGGTACAGGCAGCAGTTTTACAGGGGGAGAAGGCTCCTTTTTACTTGGTTGCTGCTCCTTGACTCTGTGGGAGCTGGTGTTAAGAAAGCCCCCCTTTGGCTTCAAGGTGATTTTTCTCTCTGTATGCTTGTTTCTGGGGCATGAAAGAGGCACAAGGTTTAGCAACATTTCAGCTTTCCTTTCCTGCAGTGGTTGTGAAGTGTTTGCTTGCCTTCCTGTCTTGGCCAAAGAGTTATTGCACAGGAGCCTCTGGTGCAAAACTTTCTCCTGATGGCTTGTCATGAAGAGCTGCCTTTCAGGTGTCTCCATGTGCTGATCTGCCCTGTCTGTGTGCTTCTCTGGTATAGATAAGTTGACCTAACCCATGCCTGTGCTGCTTTGAACCCATGAACCCATGCTTGGCTTCTCTTCTGCACATGTGGTCTCTAGTTTTCCCCCGTGCCTTTCTGTACTTGCCACTTCCCTTTTTGTGTCTGGCTCGGAAACCAAAGGTCTGAGAGAGACCTTCTCCTTCACCAGAGGGAGTAGAAAAAATGGTTTTGGTTGGTGTTCCAGCTGTCATTCATTTTACACATGGTTGGTTTGCCCCTGAAATTGGTTGGGATTTTCTTCCCCTGCTTGGAAAGGAGGAGGAAGGGAATGCTCACTGTCTCTGATCTGTAGGGAAACATGGGGGCTGAGTGAGTCATTTCTAACCAAAATACGGGTGAGAGATGAGGGCCAAGAAATGGTCAGCTAAGGTGACCTGCATCCATCTGAGGTCCCTGGACAAAAGTCATATCTTTGTCTTCTTTGTCCCCTTTAGCTCACGGACAGAACTGAGTCGCTGAACCGCTCGATACAGAAAAGGTAATTCTGGGCTGGCCTCAGGGCAAGGCAGGTCCCTTGCTGCCGAGGGAGATGGTCAGCAGGCCCTGCTGTGGGGAATGGCAGCAGTCACGGGCTGCCTGTGCCTCACCAAGTCCTCCCTTCTGCCTGAGGCACTGGGGAACGCCTTAATCCTCCTCTCTGTTCTGCAGCAACAGCATAAAGAAGAGTCAGCCTCCTCTCCCGGTGTCAAAGATCGATGACAGGCTGGAGCAGTACACACAGGCTATTGAGGTGGGTTGCTGTGCTGTCTGTGCCCCCACCCTCCCAGGAGCCCTCTTTGCTGGTGCTGCTCCCCCACCATGCCTCTCAGCCTTACCATCTGTGAGATGATTGCTAAATTGTCCTCCCTTGGGTGGGAGCCCTCCTTGCCCCTGTCTGTGTGTCCCTCCACAGCATAAAGTAGGTTTCTTTGGCAAGCTGTCCTGTGCTTGTTTTTTTGTGTTCTCTGCCTGAAGAGTGGGAGTATCTCACAGGAACTATTAGGACTCTACAAGTCTCCTTTTACACCCCCTTATCTCCAAGGATAAAAATAATCAAGAGGCACACTCTGATGGCAAACTGTCTCCGTTTATTTTCCAGACCTCCTCAAAGGCTCCAAAACCTGTGCGGCAGCCCTCTCTCGACCTTCCCACCACGAGCATGATGGTAGCCAGCACAAAAAGCCTCTGGGAGACTGGGGAGGTCACAGCCCAATCTGCTGTGAAGCCCTCAGCCTGTAAGGTACAGCCCTTGGGAGATTTGCCTTGCTTGTGCCAGGGGCAGGGACTGGTCCCTGGGCACAGTGTGCATTGTCCTTGTGTATCCTGTTAGTGCATCTTGTTTGTGGGGCTTCCAGACTCCAAAGGCATCGATATTGGAGATCTTTCCTTGTGTTGTAAGGCTTTGCACCTCGGAGATGCAATTTTTCTGACAGGGTCCCCAGTTGTTCCTTGGTGGTCCATGCAGGAAAACCTCTGTGCTGCTGGTTGAGGCTCTGATTTGAAATGGGAATAAAATCAGCTGCTGGGGAGAATGCATGTCTCCTACAGGGGCTGGGGCTGAGCTCCAGTTGTCAAGCATGACCTTGCATCTAGTACCAAGGTGATAAATCTTACAGACTTGGAAAATGCAGAGAGCATTACGTAGTGCTCTCAGTGATTTCACTTTCTGGCTGTTGTGGGTGAGGCTGGTTCTCTAATATGTTGGTTGCAAGTCTATTTATGAGAGCAGAATTCCTTTTGGTAGAGAAGCCTTGATGTTTACATGTCCTAAATAGTTAACAAACTTAAGAAAATAAACATCTTGGAGCTATTTCAGACTCTTGTGGAAGAGTGATAGGAAAACATAGGGTACACTGGGAACAGGAAGACATTTTCACAGTCATGGGTTTTAGCAGCAGCTGTTTTAGGTCAGATGTGAAATTATAAATAAAAAAAAGGAGGTCAGATGTGTGGGTTGGAAATGGATGTGAATGAACACACGTTCACAGCATTAGCAGTGAAGGGTAATGAAAGAATCATTTTCTCAGGATATCGTGGCTGGAGACATCGTGAGTAAAAGAAGCCTTTGGGAACAGAAGGGGAATCCCAAACCTGAGAGCAGTGTCAAGGTGAGTTGGTGTCTGTGAGTGTGACAGCACTTGCAGAGCTGGTGGCTGGGCTGGCAATACTGAGAAGATGATGTTCTGCAGGGCCAAGGGCTACCTGTGTCTGTCCATGCAATTGCATGCTTAAGAGCTCTTCCTAGCAGTGAATTGCTATTGGTTCAGCTCTAGTGAAAATGGGGGCAGAAATACTTTTATGTCCAGTAATTCTGAAAGGTCTCTTGAATACATGTTCTCAGCCCATGAGCTAGGAGTCACAGCTTTCTAGGCTCAAATGGAGCTGAAAATTTGAGTAATTTTGCTCTTGTTATGCTTTTTGGCACTGAGAGTAAACAAAACGTGCAAAACTAAGTGGAACTGAACCTAAGACAGCATCACTTGCAGATGGATCTGGGGTTTTGTGGGAATATTTGTGGAAATGTCTTCTAAAATGCAGCAAGCAGCTATTGCTCAAACTGTCTAGGCTGGGAGAGGAATATCAAAGTATCTTGTCAGTTCCTGTGCTGAAACTGCCAGTACCTGGCAAATCTCACAGTCTCTTGTCATGGATAAAACAACCCTGGCTTGGGGGTCTGGGATATTAGATGAGCCCTCCCTCGCAATGCCTGCATTGCATTTGCTTTCCTGTTGCCTATCCTGTTCTTGTTGTGTTGCCTCATGCTCACAGAAAGTGGTGATGGGTCTGTGCAGAGAGTTTGTGTGAAGGGGGCAGGAAGGCAGTACAGAATGGGCTGACTCTGGGATTAAAGGCAACTGTATCATGTGCACCTCTGGCTTCAGTTACTTGATTTTTGACTGCCTATTTAACAGAGAAAAATGCTGATTTTGGCTCTTCCTTTCTCTCCCATTCAGTCCATTCCTTCTGGCAAAAAGTACAAATTTGTTGCAACGGGCCATGGCCAGTACAAGAAGGTGTTGATAGATGATGCTGCAGAGCAATAGTGTGTCTGCAGAACTCATTAACCAGGTAGGTGGGATATGGCTCTGCTCTGTGTAACAACCTCCTGGGCTGTTCTGGCAGCATGCTGGGATTGATTCTGCCAGCAGCACTTGGGTGAGTTGGAAGGGGCTCTATGGGAACAGCTGGAGCCTGACTGGGCTGGAACAGAGTGGGTACCAGCAGGGGTTTGTTTTGGTCTCTGTCTTTCTGATGCTGCTGGATACCTCTGTTGGTTTAACCTGCAGGACAAGTCCCTTAGCTGCTGCTGTGTGGGTGAAGATGTGTTTGCCTTTGCTAGTTCAAAGGAATGATCTCTATCTGCTGTCTTTCCTTATGCTCTCTTAAGTTGCAAGGAGTAGAGAGAGATAGCTGAAGATCATTCTGGCTGATGTACTTCTGAAATTCAAATGTTTCTGGGGTTTAATTCCCAGATTTACTGAATTAATCAGGGAGAAGACTTTTAATGACTTCAGTAGCCTCTTGGAACCAGTCTATAATAAGGTTGTAGCAGGAAGGATGTGCACATCTGCTGTACTGGGGAGAACAACAGAGCAGAAAGGACTGCTCTCTGGTGTGCAGCAAGGGCAAGGCAGAGCTGGGTTGCTGTCTCTGTGCTCTCTTGAAATGGCCTTTGGATCTCATGTTCGTATTGTGCTCAGACTCACAGATATCCTGGTGTTATCTTGAGTGGATGATAGCAGAGGGCTGTGGCAATAAGGAGGAATGGTGTAGAGGGAGGTGGTAACTGGTTGCATCCAACTGGGCAGCATCTGGCACGATGAGTGGAGAGGAAGTTGAGGGTGAAAACAAGCTCGTTCTCCTTTTTTTCCTACTATAAAAAAGAAGCTTTATTTCATTGCCAAGGTTAAAATAGCTCTGCTTGCTACAAAACACCTTTTGTTTCTGAATTCTCCTGGGGCTTGTGTTCCTTCTTTCCCCTCCCTCCCACCCTTAAGGAGCTGGCTTCTGAGTGTTGCATTTTGTTTGTTTAGGCTTGTTTTTTTCTTTCCTTTTGTAGTGCCCATTTAGAGGATATGCCCTTTTGAATTCTACATTGAGATGGGCAGCAGTATGAGCCCAAGACTGCCTGAAGCTCTGTTTTTAGTCCACAGAACTTCCATCCTCAGCTTGCTTCTCTGCCTGTGACTTTGAGAATCCTATTATAAGGTCTCCCCTTTGATCAGTCTCCTCTTTCTCCTGAGGTCTGTTTCAGTGCAGCAGGTGGACCCTACTGAGCTTCAGTTCTCTGCAGCAAACAGGTTTTGCAGGGTTGCCAGCAGGTTTTGTTTGCCCTACCTGGGTTTCTCTGAGCAGCTCAAATGAAAGTGCCTTTGGCTCTGGTCTTTGTCCAGCAGCCTTTCTTGAGAGGCATGCTCCCCAGCTCCTCTGCACCCCCTCGAACTATGTTCATCCTTTTTCCCTAATACTGGATCACTGTCATGACCTTGCTCCCAAACCCTTCTGGCTCCCCTTGTCACTTGCTTTACACCACCTTAGCAGCTTTCTAGTTGCTTTAACACAGGTGTGGCTTGTTTTCTCCTTCCCTCTCTTCCTGGGCTGCAGGCTATGGAACAGGGGTTTTTCTGTAGGTGTCAGTTTGGGCATTTAGCAACTGCCTGATGCCATTTGAAAAATGGGCAAATTCTGTGCCCAGTAGCATTCCCCTTCTCTTCCTCAGCACAGCAGCTCAGGCTGGATGACACCACAGTGACTTCCAGTGAGCAGCCATTGGTAGAAATCTGTTGCCTCCAGGGATATGCTCTCCCATCTCTGAGTACCCTTGTGTCAGGGTCTGTCTCTGCAGGACTTGCCATACTTGCTGTGCGCCTCTGCCCTTTTTGGGGTAAAAGAGCTAAACCATGCACCCAGAGCTGCCTTCCTCTGCCTCCTTCTTTCTGCTTGTGGGAATTGCTCTTCCCAGCGGCATTTCCCCATCCTCCATCTGTCTGCAGTGGGGCTGGGGTGTGAATGCAGCCTGACTGGAGGCCCAGCACATGCAAAACCTAAGCCTTGGGTGAGAGATGCTGGTTTGCTCTGGGTGGTTGTCCTTGGTGCAGGACAAAAGCTGTTTTAAAGCACAAGTGCTTCTTAAACCACCTTCACTTAGTCTTCCAAATGTAATTGATGTTGGCTGCTCTGCTTCATGCCGGTACTGTGGCTCTTGTGCATCCAGACCTTTGTGCAGAGGCATCCATCTGGCTGTGCTGCAGTGAGGTGCCGTTTATCACTCTCTGGTAAGGCTGCCTTTATCTGCTTTATGTGTTTTATGCTGCACACTTTAAATTTTTATGGCTGTGCTGCTGCATGGATGTTTTCTGTAGCCTTCTTCTCTGTAGCCTTCTCTTGCAGCAATGTTAAATTATCCTGCAGAGGCTTACCTAGGATTCACTTGTGATTACTGCACATTTCCAACCTCTTGTTACCTTTTTCTTTGAAAATTGGGATTTTGAAAAAATATTCACCTTAGATAATTGGATTATTCTTCCTACTTGGTTTTGCCCTGAGTAAGGACGGAGTTGCAGAATAGAGATAAGACTGGTAAAGTGAAAACTTAAGGTTTTCTAAATGAACTGCTCTTACAGCATCACTGCAAAATAGGAAGACTTCAAAAAAGGCAAAAGGGACTCTTTGTTTCCAAGTCTGTTTGCAGCTTGGCCTGAGCAACTGTTGGTCAGTTCCATACCCTCTGCACATGTAAAAGGAAACTCTGTGCACAGCTCTTTATATTCTATTTGGGCTAAACATAGCAATCCTGTATTAGCTGTGTAGGAACACCCCAGCACATGACCAAGTCCCTTGTGAAACAGAAATAACCAATCTCCCAGCTTTCATGCTCACAAGCCTGCTGGCAGTGGAGCGGCAAAGGACAATACTGGAAAGCCCAGTTGTCTCTGTGGGTGGGCAGAGTTGGGTATTTTCCTTTAAATGCCCTTTTTTCAGGACATCAGGGACAAGCAGGTGTGAAACTGTCATGATGCTCACCCTGAAAATGAGACTACGTGTGGTTAGCAGAGCCACTCAGAAACCAGCACCTTGTTAAATACAGAGTTGGGTACCCACATGCTAAAGCAGGGTCTTGTTGGTTATAGTGGGAACATTAACTGTAAGCTGTTTTGGAGAAAACATGATAAAATACATAACAGAACTTGATTATTGAAACAAAATTGTTCTTCTGTGCATTATTATTAAGTAGACTGGCCTAGGAGGCTGTCAGATGATGCCCATTTTGATAGGCAGATGAGGTGTTTGGTGAGAGCAGGATATCTTTGTCTCTTGTCTGTGCTTTGGGTGAAAGGATGAGTTTCCATTTTGTTCTCAGCAAATGGGCAGGGAGCACGCTTTAAGTAGATGAGTTAGAGGCTATATGTATCCTCTTTGAGTTTGGTTTCTAAGACACTCCCTAGAGACCTGGAGCAACCCAGATTCCTTCATTTCAGATGCAACTGCTGTTATTCCTAGGATCAGTCTCTTAGATAAATGCAACAAAAAAATTCAGATTCCATTATCCTACTCTAAACTGGTCTTTTTTTCTATAGGCAGCTTGTCCTCTTCACTGTGTGCCTTCACTCTGTTACTGCCTCCAGTGATTGTTGTTGACTCTTCTTAAAACAAGCACGTTTGTTTTCCTGTGACCTGTGGATGTGGTAGCTATGCATTTGAGCTTTTGAGAGTAACCCTTAAACCTGCAGCATGGTGCTGCTGGCTTGGAGAGGTTTTATTTAATTTCCTTTTTTCCTTACGCTTGGCTGCACTGGGCTTGGTCAGAGGTTGGCGCAGCGCAGCGGCGTGGAGCAGCCTGGTGTCAGTGCACAGACCATCCCGATGCCGTTCTGTTGAAGCTCTTGGTGTGCTCCTCAGCCCCCTTGGGCCGGAAGCGGCTCACCTCAAACACGGTGCTGATCTTTGTCATGGGCTTGGCTGCCAGCTCCTTCAGCTTGCGGGCGTCAAAACGTGGCTTGTGCAGGAGGATGGGCAGGCGGCGGGGCAGGAAGAAGCTTTCTTCCTTCTGAGCCTTCTTCTCTTCTGCCTGCTGCTTCTTCTCCTTGCCGAGTGCCACCTGATATAAGATGGCATCCCACATTCTCATGGCTTTTGATTTAACCACCATGCAGTCTTGCTTGATGACTGCTTGAGCAGCATCAGCTTTATTCCCTTCCTCCTGTCCCAGCTTCTCTGGCTGGGACTCTGGGAAGTTGGTTGCTTCTGGCTGCACTATCAAGTGCTTCTTGAGGCGATGCCAGCCACTGGCACTGGTTCCAGGAGCTCTTGGCGCTTCTCCTGATGGTGGTGCTGGCTCAGCCTTGGGGGAACAACTGGTGTTGGGTAAGCTGGGAGTCATTTGGGGTTCAGTGACATGTTCTGTCTTGGTGTCTGTTGGGGTGGACCCGGTACCATCAGCTTGTGCTGGAGTTGCTGTTGCTTGGCGTGCTTGCCTCCAAGGAGCGCTGGATGTTGATGGTTCTGGGATGTCTCTGTCTTGCTCTGGTAATTCAGGAGCTGCCTTGCATTCAGTGTCATTTCCATGGGTTGTTGGCTTATTGGTGTGGGCATCAGAGGTGCTGGGCTTCTCAGTGGGAACAGGCTTGGGAGCCTGATCAGGAGGCTCTGTCTCTGCAGCAGGAACTAGGGGAGGTTTTGGCAAGGGGAGAGCTGCCTTGTTGTCTTTAAGTGAGGTGCTTGTCTGCTCTGGAGGTGGTTCAGAGCTGCTTGTTTGAGGTGCTGGGGAAGTAGGCCTTTTGTCTTCCTGGCTGACAGTTCCTAGGGTTGGGTTTGGTGTGGGAGTCTTAGCCCTGGGTGGCTTGACACTGTGGAAATAAGTGTTCACCTTGGTGACATAGGTAACCTCTGGTGCCCTTTCTTTGCTGAGTGTACTGGGAGGAGGAGGCTTGGGGAAAACAGGTACTGAAGGGTCAGATGGAGAGGGAAGGTGGGAGCCTGTGCCTTCAGGCTGCTGTGGAGTCTCAGGAGCTTCTGGCCTCTGTAGCAGGGGCATGGCTGAGGAGGCTGTGAGCTTGACGTGCTCGGCGATGCGCCGCTGCTCTGTGACCTTCAGCGTGAAGGGCTTCCCCTTCCGGAACGGGGAGAGAGCACGGTGGCCCACGGGCCTGACGGAGAGCTGGGTGGGCAGGGGGGCACAGGGGGCTGCTGGGGCCTCAGGGGTCTCTGCTGCTGGGGCAGCGCTCTCTGCACACTCCTGGTCGGGGCTGGCTTCGTTCACGGGCGACAGGCTGGAGCGGAAGGACTTGCCCTGCTCCGAGGCAAGGATGGCGTTCTTCCTGGCTGCCTTCTTCAGCAGCCGCTGCAGCCGCAGGTTGTCCTTGCCAGGCTTGGGCAGGGTGGGAGGGGGGGAAAGGGGGTGGTGATTGGGAACAGGCTGGGTGGAGGATGATACTGTTATCAGCATTGTCATTTCCTGCAAGAGAAGACCAAGTTTAGAGTTGGTGTGGGCTTAGCCCTGGGCCGGATTCCGAAATATTTATATACGAGTCCTCCTCTTCCTCTCTCTAAAAGCTATGAGTATGGAGTCAATATTGTGGGAGGAGAGCATCAGTGTTTGCTTTGCTCTCCTGAGGTAACCTCAGCCAGGCTTGAGGGTGGGTGTGGCAGGGCAAGACATGTCCTGGGGGAAGCTGTATTGCCAAACCTACAGCCCTTCTGCTGCTGGCATTAGCACAGTGAGAGCTCCTGGGGACCCCAGATGTTCGTGTCTTGGCAAGTCCTAATGGGATTTGGAAGGAAGTGTCAAGGGAAAAAAAGTGGGTTTGAAATTTTGAAGCTTTGAAACATCTCCAGAGGCAAAAAGCAGGAGTGTTTCATGGCTTTCCAAATTTTGGTTATTAATACTCTGATACAATGTTATGTACAACAGAACAGCCATAAACTACATGTGTCATTTGAATTGAAGTCAGCGCTGGCCTTGATTCATTTCAGCTGGCATGAAGACACCCCTGTGAAATACAGGGCTTCTCAGAAGCTCTGTTTATCACTGAGGAAGTGCTTTGTCACACCACTGACTCTGGCTGGTCTTCTCTTGCATAAAGCACGGGGACAACATTTTCCTCTGAGATAAAACCAAGTTTTCTCTTTCCCTTGGGAGGCTTTGCCCCATTTTGCCTTTATCGCTTGTTCTTGAAAGAAGCAGAAAGGGCTTGTGCTCTGTGTCAGGTCTGATCTCCAATGGCAATTGCAGCCCTTTGGCCAATGCTGGGCTGCTCCTGCAGGGATGCATGGCTGCTTTTCCTGCTCTTTACTGCTAACTCATCACTGCCTCCTTTTTGGGGAGTGCTGGTCAGTGGAGCTCAGTGAGCACAGTGGAGTGAAGGGTTTGTGTTGGGGATACAAAGATAAAACTCATCTCAGTTCCCTCCTTTCTCTTCCCGAGCAAGCTGGGGAGCACCAAACAGCCTCTGACCTGCAGTGACTCTTTGGCAGCCCCAGGAAGGAAATCTGACTCTATCCTGGCTCTTGCTCAGCACAAAGTTGCTGAGTTTTGCTATGAAATGAGGCATAAATCACTGAGCCTCTTAATCCCTGGTGCTGGGTGTAACTGAGCATCCTGAAACAAGGAAGAGGAGGGCAGGGTGATGTCAGGCTTGCCCAGGGGGCTATTTATTTTGTGTGCAGTGTTCTGCTCCCAGCCTGCTCTGGTTGGTGTGGCTGTGCAATGTGATATCTACTGTGCGGGAAAACTGTCCTGAATAGAACTCTGGGAAGTGCAGAACAGCTATTTGTGCTCGAGTGCCCAGGGCTGGCTGGGGGCTTGCAGTGCTGCTGTCAGCACTGGGCTGGGAAGGTGATCCATACCCAGCAAGCAGGTGGTGTGTCTGCCAAAACCAAAACTGGTTGGCCATGAGGGGAGAAGGATGATTTTTTTTTTTCTTTTTGTTAAATTTTGTTTTAATTATTAATAAAGGCAGCAGAGATAAAAGCACCGGAGAGGTGGCATGTTGAGCTCAAAAGCTTCAAGGTCAAGCCCTCAGTGTGGTGGATGAGCTGCCCTCCAGAGCAGGGGCTGTGGTGGGCAGGGTCCAGACAGTGTCTAGCCTGTGCATTCAGTACCAGAGAGAACTGGATCTGTTGGAGCAGCTCCTGAGGAGGACCACAGAAACAATCAGAGGGATGGAACACTCCTATGAGGACAGGCTTGAGAGAGTTAGGGTTGTTGATCCTGGAGAAGAGAAGGCTCTGGGCAGATTTTATTGTGGCCTTTACATATGTAAAGGTGGCTCCTAAGAGAGATGGAGCACAGGGATTTTAGTAGGGCATGTTGCAATAGACAAAGGGTAAAGCTTTTAAACTAAGAGGGTAGATTCACACTAGATATAAGGAAGAACTTTGTGTGTGTTTTTTTTTTTTATGATGAGGGTGGTGAAACATTGGAACAGGTTTCTCAGAGAGGTGGTGCATGCCCTATCCCTGGAAACATTCCAGGTCAGGCTGGATGGGGGTCTGGGCAGCCTGATTTAGTTGCAGATGTCCCTGTTCATTGCATGGGTGTTGGATTAGATGACCTTTAAAGGTCCCTTTCAACTAAAGGTCCCATTCAAGCTATTCTATCATTCCATGTTTTACTTTAGCTGTAGGCATGAGAGACCTGCTGTTTTCTATGAGGGGGCTTGGAGGGGATTTGTGTCAGCTGGGGGTGACAACTGTTGGACATTCCCAGTGTCTTATCAGCTTCATTCCTTAGGCACAAGGCTGCCATTCGGATTTGCTTTGTTCTGGGAGCTACTCTTAGAGACAAGTCTGCACTGTTCCAAAAAAAGGCTGAGAGCCCATTCCTTTGTCATATACCTGCTTTCCTCCCCAGCCTCTTGGGTATTTTAGATTCTTCTGGGTCAGAGAGCCAAAATGTCGCAGTTGGAAGGACATGTAGGTACTTTTGTACCTGCTTTGTCTCTGTTTGTGTAGGAATTGGTAATTGCTTGTGGGGTTTTTTGTGCCTTTTTTAAGATCTGCTGAAGGGTGAGCAATACCAGCACTTCATGATAGGATTTATTGTGGGATGACTTCATCTGCTCCTGTTTAACGTGGTCCCATGGACAGCTTGTACTACAAGATGAGCTATGGTCCAGCAGCACTGGTAAACCAGATTTATAAGGTTGACCTGCTTCAGGCTTGTGTGGGGAATACTAAAGAGGCAGGGCAGTGAACTCCCCAGCTACTGATCAGCTCTGAGTGTTTTCCTTGTCCTATGGACTGCTGCACTCCAGAAAAATGCAGTCCCCATGTGAGTCAGAGAGGGACCTTGCCTGGGATTTGCTGCAAGCTGCCACATGCTACTGAGGAGGGCATGGGGGCTCTCAGAGTTTAGTGTGCACACACCAGGAAAATCCCCCTGCTCCCAAAGTCAGAGGCTGCTTCATGCTGCACAACCTCAAGATTTGTCGTCTCTTACAAATAGTCTGTGCTTTCAGAACAGCTCTTGCTGCTATCTCAGCATCCTATCTGACTTGAAACCTGCTGTGCTATGGGTCTTGGAGTCCTTATGGGTGGTGACTTCCATGGCATGTGACTGTACTGGAATCTGTGCTTGACTAATGGAGCAGTGAGATGCTGAGAGACAGCAAAAGGAAATCGGCTGTTAATTTATTTGTCTTTCCTGTCGTGCCTGGCTTTGTTTTGAGTCTCCTTCAGGGCTTTGTGTGCTCAGGAGAAATTCTCAACAAGGAAGATTTGTCTTCCACCTTGCCACCTAATGAAGCAAAAATAAAGGGGCAGACAAACTTGCTTTATTGCCAGTGGGAAGGCTGGAGCTGAAAGCCTGGGGACAATAGGGGAAGCACTGCTGAGAAACATGTGTGGGTTTGTGATAAGCTAGAAGGAAGTGAATCTAGAAGTCAAGAGGCTTTCAAAGGGTTAAGTTTGTCTGCTGCTGGTTGAGCTTGATGGGTGGATGGACGCTCATCCACTTGGGCCCCAACTGTTCTCCTGACTTGGCTCCATTTGCCATCAGCCCCAAATCAGGAATAGTGGGGAGGGTGTCAGCACGCAGGAGTCATTTATCAAGTGATGGAAAAGTCATTTGTGTGCTGGAGCCCCTTGGCTGCAGCAGCTGTCGTGCGTGGAGCAGATGGAGAGCTGCAGGAACCCAGCCCTGCTGCAGATGGTCCCAGGCAGAGCTGCGGCTCTCGGGGCTCTGGGGACACTCTCTGCTTTAGGGGCTTGGGAGGGAGCCTGCAAATCTCCTTTCTGGGGTGGGAGGCAGCATGGCAGGAGTGCAGCCACAACTCTGTGGGGTGTGCAGCCCTCAGCATCTCCTCTGCCCTGGGCATTCCCAGCATGGTTCACTTGTGCCAAAGCCTTATAGGGGGGCTGTTTCACAGGGCTTTGTGAAAATGGGTGGGAGAAACCTGCCTGTAATTGCTAGAGAGAATACAGTTTCTGTGTACCCCAGGGTGTTGCTCATGAGAGGCCAAATGCTCTCCATAACATTGTGTTTTCTTGTCTTGCAGCTGAGCTTGATCCTGACTCAATGCAACCCTCTGTGCCACTATTTCCTCTGCTCCACAGAAGATAATTGAAGGATGTTTTTCTTCTCTTGACTGCTGTCAGTCTGCTTTGGGTACAGCCTGACTCCTCTTGGGGTTTGAGCAGTACCCCACACTGCCTCCAGATGGATGAAAGGAACTAGATGAGCTGACAAAACTCATTCCTGTTATAACTTTCTATGTGACTCTTTGGCTTTTTTTCCTCTTTTTCCCTTTTTTTTTTTTTTTTTTTTTTAATCTGTCTCTGCTATGGAGATGAGAGGCTCTGTTCCCTCACCTCAAGTATTGGAAGAGAGGGATCTGCTGCCCTGCTGAGCAGGCAAGGCTTTTGTTGTGTGATTAGGAATTTCTCTTTTTGTGGCCCTTGGTGGGTGGGTGGTGGCGAAGGAGCTCACCAGAAATCTGGTGAAGAATTGATGTTTGAAATGAGGACAGTGGGCAGATCCTGAGAGTAAAAAGACTGCAGGGAGAGTGAGATGAGAGTGCAAGGACCACTTGTCACTGTTGGTGCCAGCTGTGGGTAAAGTCTTGCCCTGTTTATGAGGCATCCTCCATCCCCCTATGTCATCTGCTTGGAGGGACTTCCATCACTGGTCTGTGTCCATCAAATTGCATTCAATTTAGTCTTGATTTCTTTTAGTTCCCAGATCATTCTTTAATCAGTTATGTACCCGTGCCAAAATGTTCCTGTCACTTTTCTGTCTCAGCAGGCTAATAGCAGCTTTTTTTCAAATACCTGCTGCCTTCCTCTGCCTGTTTAAGATGGATTGGAGATCTCCTTTCCCAGGTGAGGAGTGCTGGCCCTGGTGTTATCTCCCTTCTCTGGGACAGTGATTTGCTTATTCTCTGACCTGTGGGCTGCAGTGCCAGTGACTGAAACACTTCTAAAAGTCAGATGTGGTGGCAGCTTGAT